GCTGACATGGTATGAAGGATCCTGTGATGTTCCAGGCAAAGGACATGTGTGTCTCCTTGTCCCAGAACCATTTTTGGTGGAAGGGTAATACCAAACTCGTCAAAATCCAAGGCACCTCGAAGTAAGTTTGGAGCAGCGCCTTTGGTTCTTTGGCCATGGAGGAGGCTGTAGCCCTAGTCTCCATTAAGCCAGGCGCCGCGGGATTTTGGGATTTCGCACCGCTCCTCCGAGTCATGCCCGTAGACGTCGGCGATGCTTTGGCGGCAGGTGTCAGCGCAAAAGCCACCAAGGGCATCTGCGTCACTACCATCCTCGACCGGATGCCCGAACGTCCATGTCCGGAGCGGCTAGCGCTGGGGATGGTGTTTTTTTCCGACCTGTCCATGGTCTTTTTTTGACCTGGGTATTTTGTTTAACATGATTCAAAGTTGTTGTTGACCTCCGTTAGCGCTTTGTCTAGCCTATAGCTGCCTCTGCAAATGGGATTGCGCGATGTGGGAAAAACAGATACTGATTGCTGCTTGCCAGGAATGGTCAAAGCAACAGCTCGTTGCAAGAGTTTGTAAAACTTTCCTGGGCTACTGCAGATTTCCATGACTTCCAAAATAGGGACTCTTGCCGGCCTAGCAACACGGAGGTGGCAGAGCACCCAACCATGAACTGCCTCAAGGTAGTTCAGGGAGGCTACAGGGGTCGCAAGATGCAGAACATGGAACAAGGTTTGTATCAGCTGGCTTCACCTTCACTTAACCAAAACAAACACACAATTACGGAGGGTGCAATCAAACTAGCCCCTTCATCCTGTTTCTGCCTGCTTCCGTCTGACTGAACCGAACATTCATCCTACATGGCAGGGCTGGATGATCCAACCCCATGATTAAGCACGTGCCAACCACCTGTTTCAACAATCTCCTTTTGGCTCTCCTTTGAATTGAACACTTCTGGTTGTCGAAACAAACTTTGCCGACTCCAGACAGAGTTGAATTGAGGTGGAGAGGCCATCAGAGTCTCAGGCCGCGACCACGTCGAAAAAGGCGGCCTTGGAACAAAGGAACCTGGGAAAGCAGGGTGCTTCTCAACACTCTCTCTGAACAGCGCGGTTGATGTGGCTTTGAGAGGGGGTCAGTGCAAAACAAAATCCGGGTACCACAATTGTACTGGAAGAGCGGGGAAGTCGCGGCAAAAACACGGAATCGTCCTTGCGGATCTTTCACGGAGGCACTCAGCCAAACACCAGTCACCAACGGCACAACGGCTCACAAGGACCGTTTGATCAACTCGCAGCGGCAGGCAGCTACGGAGAGGTACAGAGAGATGCACACAAACAAATACCATCAGCCAGGCAAACACGGAGACAGGCAAACACGGCCAACCTAGCCAGCGCAAACAAACAAAGCAAACAAGGCCAAAGACCGCCTTGTAGAAGTCAGTCACGTCGCGCTCAGTGGAACGAATTGTCGGGCTTTGAAATCCTTTGAGGCAGGAATCCCAGCTTCAAGAAACTTCTGAACTAACAATGGCTGTCACGCAGTCCTTGGCATGTCACGGCCAAGATGTGGGGAAGATGACCTCTGGGAGCTGTCCCTGCTCCTTTCCAACGAAATCGACACTCTAGATTCGCTTGCTCTTCCACCTGCAGCCGCCATGTTTCAACAATCAAACCGCTTGGCTTGGCAAACGCCCGAAGGCTTCCCCGAAAACCAAGCTGGTCCAAGGAGCGTCTTTACGCGGCAAAAGTCGGGACGCTCGTCGTAGATGCTGCAGGTGCGCTGGTTGAAGTCAAAGTGCTTGCACCAGCCATCTTCCTGGGATGGACTACGGCCTACAACTCATAAACTGGCCCCTATTCGACTTTGGGGCCGAGTGGCGCTGAGTCTTTCTAAAACAAGACCGAAAAAGAGACCCCCAATTTTGACAAACTTTCTGCTGGTAGGTGATGTCATCGTCACCGCCCATCAAGCTCAGCCAAACTGCCCGGGAGCCAAGCGCTGGCTTCTTTTTTGCTCGCGCTCATTCGCTACCAAGCCGCACCCGGCAGGGTCCGGAAGATCCTCGCGGGAATCGAGCTCTACAAAGGCTTCCAGAGGAGAAAAGAAAATTGGGTTTGTTTGCACTTGGCTGGAACTAGGACCCCAGCAAAAAAATATCATTTTCTGCCTGGTATCATTTTTTGCCTGGTTAGTGGGAAACAAAGGGGATCCCAAAAAAGCAAAAAAAAATGGGAAACTAATTCTGGGGAAGTGCAGAGTTTGGGGCACGGGTCCTTCTCATTCTTTCCAGACCAAGACCAACAGTTCTCAAAATCTCCCTCCGTCGCCCCTATGCGCGACGTCTCGCTCCTGAGCTGCTCTTCGCTCAGCAGGTCCTTCAAAAAAGGCCTCTCCTGAAGCTTGGCCGCGGGCGTCCACCTTTTGATTGCCCTTGTGGGGAAATGTTCACGCGGTGAACTCCAGAAAGAGTTGCAATTGTGTCGTCCTTTTTGCGGAGGGTGGCAAATGGAGACAATAATCATAAACACCTTTTGAGCCCCCCTCTTTGGCGAGTTTCCTTGAGTGATGTGTTTGGGTCGGATTTGTTGGGGGGGAACGTAGCTTGAAAGCTCAACAAGGAAAGGGAAGGCTTCGACATCACACTCAAAGGGCACTCAAATACTGCATGGTCTGAGCGGCATGGAGGAAGACCTTTATTTTTCAAGTGACTCACGTAGACGCTTATTCTTCAAGTGACTCACGTAGACAAAACAAAAAACGGTGCACGCCTTCCCTACACCGTCACACTTCTTAATGTTGGTGGTTGGTGAGGGTACTTCTTTCCAGGTGGTTGGAAGGGAAACAAGAAGGGAACCAACCATTTCGGTGGTCTGCTATTACATATGCCCACCACATCTCTCAGTCCCCGTTCCAGAGCCACAAAAATGCCTTCAAATCCGACAATATGTTCCAAACAAATTGAAGTTCCACCCAAAAGATTCCCCACGGTTAGAGGAAGTTTCTTTTGGGGGCACCCCACCTTTTTGGCTTCCATGCTAATCTGGAGTTCCGCTACAATAACAACCTCAAAAATGCCCTCTCAGTGGTTTCAAGCCAGAACTAAATTTCGCGTATCCCGGCATCGTTTTTGAAGAAGAAAAAGCCCAATCATGCCAGCCCTCAACACGGGACCCTGCAAGGACATGGAAATTCATGCCCACCAACCACTTAGGCAGTTGTTTGTCAACCTGTCTCGCCTCCTCGGTTCCCAGCAGGCAGCAGGCGCCACACCCAGCCACCGAATTCTTGCTCGGCAGCATCAAATAGCTGCGTCATACCGGACGGTGCGGCAACATCGCTGTGGACCGCGATTGCTTGACCACCACCTTTTTTGATCGCTTCGACGGTCTGATTGGCACCAGCTTTATCGCTTGAGTAATTTACGACGATTGCGTGGCCGTCTTGCGCAAGGCGCTGAGCGATGGCTGCACCGATCCCCTTGCTGGCACCAGTGATAATTGCGGTTTTGGACGGTTGTATCATGTTGAACTCCTTTGTGTTGTCAGAGGAGATAGGCGAATATAAAGTACAGATAATCCCCGGAAATTTGGAATAACAATTCGGAAATAACGAACAATGATAGATCGACTTGAGACCCTGAAACTCTTTGTCAGAATTCTGGAACGCGGCAGTTTCACAAAGGCCGCTGCTGATTTGAACATTCCCAGATCAACAGCCAGTGAAGCAATCCAGCGACTTGAGCGCGATCTGGGGAGCCGATTGCTTGAACGCACAACCCGCCACATCGCGCCAACGCCAGATGGGGACGCCTACTATCGAAGATGTGTGTCAATTCTGGCTGATCTGGAAGACGCCGAAGGGGCTTTGCGCGGGCATGAACCATCCGGCCTTTTGCGCATTGACGCGCCCGGCACTTTGACACGGAAATTTTTACTACCGCACTTACATGAATTTTTGACGCGACACCCAAAGCTCACGTTGCAACTTGGACAGACAGAACGGCTGGTAGATCTGGTGCGCGAAGGCGTTGATTGCGTCATCCGTGCAGGAGACCCAGAAGACAGCAGCATGATCTCACGACGCCTTGGCAGTTTGGACGAAATCACCTGCGCCAGCCCCGACTACCTTGCAGCATTCGGCGTTCCAAAGTCCGTTGCGGACCTCGAAGGCCATAAGATGGTTGGCTTTCTGTCATCGCGCACAGGCGCTGCAATGCCGTTAGAGTTCAAGACGGGCAAGCAACTTGAAACAGTCACCTTGCCAGCTACCGTGATTGCCAATGACGCAGATACTGTCCATCAATTGGCCCTAGATGGGTTTGGCCTTGCGCAAGCACCAATGTACCGGTTTTCCGAAGACCTTAAATCAGGGCGGCTTGTAGAAGTCCTGCCAAAGGCACCACCTCCGCCAATCTCTTTGGCAGCCTATTATCCGCAAAACCGACAACTCTCACCGCGCGTTCGGGTTTTTCTGGATTGGGTCGTGAGCATATTCGACGAAGCAGTATTTTGAATACTGACTTAGCCAAATCGAACAGCAGCCATTCGTGCAGACGCAGCGAAAGGCAGGAAAGTCCGCGTTGCTTCCGTTCGTTTTGGCCGCAACAAAAGCCCGCTTTCCGCCCAACCTGTGAATTCACTGCGTCCAAGATGAGTGTCGGCTTTTAGGGTGTTACCTCAGGACGTTGAAATGCAGACTTGGGGGCGTATAGCAGCCAATAATGCTGTACGTATCTTTCGCCACTTTGGGCTCTTCTGTTCGTACAAGGTGCTTCGATCCGCGAGACATTACCGGATTTTACCCTAGCGAAAGGTCGCCGCGGTAAACTGGCTGAAACATCATTCAGACGAGATACTGATGCCGTCCTCCAGCCCTGCCGCACTCGATATTCTCAATCTCAAAAAATGCTTTGGCGAACCCGCCGTAAACGATCTTTCCCTGACAGTGCGTGCGGGAGAATTCTATGCCCTGCTCGGCCCGAACGGCGCAGGCAAGACAACGACGCTGCGGATGGTGGCGGGACTGCTCGAGGCTGATGCGGGCTCCGTCAAGGTCTGTGGCATCGACGCTTTTGCGGACCCGATTGCCGCCAAGCAGGTCCTGGCCTGGGTTCCGGACGAACCCATGGTCTACGACAAGCTGACACCGCTCGAATATCTTGAGTTTGTGGCAGGCCTCTGGAGCATGGAACCGGACCTTGCGCGTTTCAGGGCCGATACTCTGCTCGACTCCTTCGGACTTGCGTCTCATTCCAATGAACGTTGTGGCGGGTTCTCCAAGGGGATGCGTCAGAAAGTGGCGCTTGCCGGTGCCCTGATCCACGAACCGCGTTTGATAATCCTCGACGAGCCGCTCACCGGACTTGATGCAGGGTCTGCGCGGCAGGTGAAGAAGGTGCTGTCCGGCCTTGTTGCGCAGGGCGTGTCGATCGTCATGACGACGCATATCCTTGAAGTCGCGGAGCGGATGGCTGACCGGATCGGGATCATTGCGCGCGGACAGCTCGTTGCCGAAGGCACGCTGGAAGAGTTGCGCGAACGAGCGAGCGCCGACGGCAATTCCCTGGAGGACATTTTCCTCAAAATCGTGGGCGGCGGCTCCGAAGGCGGCGCACAAACGAGCAAAGCAGATTACCCTGACGAGAAGGTGGCATGAGCGCACTCGCGGCACATTCCGCCCTGGTCCGTTTTTCAAGGCATGAATTGCGACTTGCCTGGCGCGACTGGGCCTGGATGTTTTCGGGCTGGCGCAACACCAGCCTGCGGCGCGCACTGATCGGCATGGGCATGTTCTATGCGATCATGCATTTGATCGCGTACGCCGTGCTTTCTCCCTATTTTACCACGGGGATCATGCTCGATCAGACCACGCAAGCAATGCTTTCGGTCACTGTCCTGCTCAGCTTCACCATGATGCTGTCGCAGGCGATGGAATCGGTAACGCGCGCGTTCTACGCCCGCGATGATCTCGACCTGATTCTGTCTTCACCCGCGCCCTCCCGTGACCTGTTTCTTGTGCGCATCGTCATGATGGCTCTGACAAGCTGGGTGATGTCGGCACTTGTCATGTCTCCGTTCCTCAACGTTGCCGTGGTGCTTGGCGGGCAGCATTGGCTTGCGGGATATGTGGTTCTCCTTTCAGTATCGCTGAGCGCAACAGGAGCAGGTGTGTTGATCACGCTCGCGCTGTTTCGAACGGTGGGCGCGCAGCGTACGCGCCTCACTGCGCAAATACTGGCTGCCATTGTCGGTGCGGCCTTCCTGATCGGGATGCAGGTGGTTGCAATCCTGTCCTTCGGGTCGATCTCCCGGTTCACTCTCTTCGACCCGGCCTTTCTGGCGAACCATGCGCCGTCTGCAGGTTCCCCATGGTGGTTTCCCGCCCACGCTGTGGCCGGACAGACCAATGCCGTTATTCTGATGTTTGCAGCCTCCGTCCTGTTTTTTGCGATGGGAGCCTGGCTTGGCGCGGTTCAGTTTCGCCGCATTGTTGTGTTGGCACTCGGTGTCACGGAAAAGCGCGCGCGCGGACGCGCATCCGAACGGGCCTTTCGCAGTTACTCGCCGTTCGGCGCGCTCGTTCATAAGGAACTCAGTCTGATCTTCCGCGACCCGTGGCTGGTTTCCCAGACGCTGATGCAGGTTCTCTATCTTATCCCGCCGGCTGTCATGCTCTGGGTCAGTTTTGGCGAGAACACCGAGATATCCGTGATTATCGCTCCCGTTATTGTTATGGCGGTCGGCCAGCTTGCCGGCGGCCTTGCCTGGCTGACCATCTCCGGTGAAGATGCCCCCGATCTGATCGCAACGGCCCCCATCTCCCTGTTTACACGCCTCTGGGCGAAAGTGTTGTCGGTCCTGACGCTTATCGCCACAATACTACTGCCGATTGCTCTGTGCCTGGCGCTCATATCGTTATGGGGGGCAGTGGTCACCTTTGCCGGCGCGATGATCGCAGCAGCAAGTGCAATCCTGGTTCAACTCTGGTTTCGATCTCAAGCCGAACGCACAACCTTCCGGCGCCGGCAGGTCGCTTCGAAGGCCTCGACGCTCGCGGAGGCCGGTGCGTCCATTTCCTGTGCGGCGGGCACGGCACTGATCGCGGCGGGGAGCCCGCTGGCGCTTCTGCCTGTCGTCCTGCTTTTGATTGTGCTTGGGATCTCCCGGAGTATCCGTCCGAGGCATGACGCAAAATTTTAAGGGTTTACGCGCCGGATTGGGCTAGACAGCAAACGCAAGTGCGTCCATGCGTCCACAAGTGATCAAGCCCAAGGCCGCAGCGAGGATGAGTTTGGTCCGATAATGCCGGCCGTCCAATTAGACGCTTGTTCTTTGACCAGTATTGGTGCCAGTTTCTATAGATAGATTCGGGAGGACATCTCTGTGTTTCACGGCAAGGTACTGGTCGCCCAGGGAGGCGGTCCAACGGCGGTCATCAACCAGTCCATGGTTGGGGCGGTCCTGGAATCACGCAAGTTCCGCTCCGTCGAGTTGATCTACGGTGCCGTGCACGGCGTGCGCGGGATACTGGACGAGGATTTTTACGATCTGACCCAGGAGACCACCCACAATCTGGAACTGGTGGCAAACACACCGTCTTCGGCGCTTGGCTCGACGCGCGACAAACCGGACCTGAAGTATTGCCAGGAAATCTTCAAGGTCCTGCGGGCGCACAAGATCGGTTATTTCTTTTACACCGGCGGCAACGATTCCTCGGACACGGTTCGCATCGTGAATGATGAAGCGCGCAAGGCAGACTACAATCTGCGCTGCATCCATATTCCGAAAACCATCGACAATGACCTGGTCGAGAACGACCACACGCCAGGCTTTCCCTCAGCCGCGCGGTATGTGGCTCAAGCATTCATGGGCATCAATCTCGACAATGCGGCGCTGACCGGCATCTATATTGGCGTTGTCATGGGGCGCCATGCCGGTTTTCTCACCGCCGCATCGGCGTTGGGAAAGAAATTCTCCGATGATGGTCCACATCTCATCTATATGCCCGAGCGCACCTTCGACATCGATCGGTTCATCGGGGACGTCAGGCAGGTGTATGAACGCTACGGGCGCTGCGTCGTTGCCGTCAGTGAAGGCATCCATGACGGCTCGGGTGAGCCGATCATCGCCAAGCTGGCCAAGGAGGTCGAGCGCGATGCACATGGTAATGTGCAGTTGTCCGGAAGCGGCGCCCTGGCCGATCTGTTGACGCAGAAGGTCAAGGAGGAACTGCAGATCACGCGGGTCCGGGGTGACACGCTCGGCTATATCCAGCGAAGCTTTGTCGGATGCGTTTCCGATGTTGACCAGAATGAAGCCCGAGAGGTCGGTGAAAAGGCCGTCCAGTACGGGATGTTCGGCGATCGCGACGGATCGGTGACGATAAAACGCACCGGCCACTACTCGGTGGATTACGAACTGGTGCCGCTGGAAATGGTCGCCGGAAAGACCCGCACAATGCCCGACGAATTCATAACGGCTTCCGGTCACGATGTTACAGACGAGTTCCGGATGTATCTTCGCCCCCTTTTGGGCAAGGGCATGCCGGACGCCCATCGCCTTCGTCCGAACAAGGTGCCGAAGATCCTGGCAGCCTCGTCATAGGAGACGGCACTCGCGCGGGCGGTTCCGGACTTTTTCTGCTCGGTGAATGAACGCCAGGTCAGCGGACATTGCGGTCAGTTGAATGGTGTCTGCAATGGTTGAAACTGCTGTTGGGGTCAGACGTTCAAAACCTTCCTGTGCTGAGGTGTCGAGCTCGCCGCCGACCCCAACTTGAGTCATTGGCTGACAACTTTCCATTGCTTCAGCGAGGCATCGATCTCATCGCAGGTTCCCAAAGTGAGCGGCCGTTTCACCCAGGGACCCGCTGGGACGGTTTCCGCAGCGACCGCCACACAAATCGCCTTGTCCTCATTCAGTCTCAGGGTCTGATCTGCTTCATTGTAAATGAACTTCTGTCGCGGATGGTCGCTGCATTCCAGCAGGGCAAACTCCGACTTTCCGGTCGCGATTAAGGCCTGCATGCAGAAGCCTTCAAATGGGTAGGAAACGACCTGCATGGTGTTTGTGTTGTACTCGAAGCGGGTGTCATGCCCCTCATAGCTGCGCGGCTCGCCCTCACTGGGTGGTTTGCAAGAATGGGTCTGCAACAGATCGGAGCGCCCGGGGCCATATGTATCGATGCAAAACCCAAATCCGTTTGGTTCGTCCTGGTTGTCGCTGAGGACGATGTACGGCGCTTCAGACGGAACCTTTGGTGCGTCGGCGCCGGCAATGCCAGTCGCCCCGAGCAACGCAGCAGAAATTATGGCAAGTCGCATAGTGCGTCCTTTTCATAGATTGTCGAGATTAAATCTGATTAGCGGTTTTCTGATTTACTATCAACTCAAACAATTTGAATTAGAACTATTTTCCCTGGGCGTATTCTGGCTCTTTTGATAGGCTGCAAGTTCACTTAAAGTGAGTTCATGAAACGTCAGCACGCACAAATTCACCCCTTCCTCCATTCAGCTGCAATTATGGAGAAGCAATTGGAAAACCTGCTTGGATCATCCAAGATACGGCATCGACAAGCTCTTGTTCTGGATGCGCTATTGCAAATCGGACCGTCCTCTCAGCAGCACCTTGCCAAACAGTTCAGCGTCTCACCTGGAACCATGAGTTCGATGATTTCTCGGCTTGAAACACTTGGATACGTGCAACGTGAGACCAACCCTACAGATCGACGCGCCGATGTCGTCAACATCACAGCTGAAGGGCTGACGGCTCTTGCGGGTGTCGCAGACATTTGGCGTGAGGGTGACAAGATTATCGAGAACATCCTCGGACCAGAAGAAAGCACACGTTTCTTTGCACTCTCGGACAAACTCAGCAGAGCGCTTGGCGGCGGCCCACCAAAGACAGAAAAGTCCAACTAACAACATAGACCTGTAGTGGTCGCGTATGAGTGCAGTTTTGATTGCCGAGTGGACGTTCATGTTTTGCGCAGTATTTACAACGTCATGCATTCTCGAATGCAGAATACGTTCGCACGCCTTGCGTGATTGTCGCCGCGATGCGGGTTACACCTCCCAAACCATTATTGAATGCCGCTGTTAGACACTGGTTCCGTATTGAGCCTTCGCTGCGATCGAGATCGGCAAACAGGGAGCGGACCAAGGCGTCATCTGATCAAATTGTTCGAACTGGTGCCTGTGGTGCAAAGCGATCAGCGGAACACTTCGCAGTGAACGGCTGCTTCGAACCGATACCGATGTGATGCGGCTAACCTGACAGCGTCGCTTTCCATTGCCGCGCTTCCACCGCTTCAACCGTGAGTTCGATACAGAGTTGACGCACAGCCTCCAAGGCAAACGTTGCCGGGCGATCGCTCAATTCTCCGATATAGAGCGCGCGACTGAGCTTCGGCCTGACAATCGGGCGAGTCACCAATGTGCCCGCGTCGATGTGTTCTTTCAGGATAAACTCGGTGCCTATGAGGCAGCCGATGCCTGAAAGAAGGGATCCGCCGATAGCGGCGATCGAGTTTATCTGGAACTGAGCGTTTTCTTCGATCCGTCTAAGCAGGGACGGATCGTCCATCACGGCCCGGGTGTTCAGGCCTTGACGAAGAATAATCAGCGGTAATTCCAGCAGTGCCTCAAAGCTGATTGCATCAGTCCCGCCCATTACATCCGGGCGGCCCACCAGAACCAACTCTTCTTCCAATATTGGCTGGAACCTGAAGCGTGAGTCAGGAGACTGATTGTAGGTAAGGGTCAAATCGACTTCCGAAGACGCAAGCTGCTGGGCGGTGGACCCGGAAAAGATCTCGGAAAGATGCAGGCGGAGTTTCGGATAGGCTTGCGAGACACGCTGCACCAGGGGCACACCGATTGCCTTAACGGCCGAATGCGCAAAGCCCACCGAGATCTCACCCGCAACCTCGTTCGCATTATCTCTGATATCGGCACTTGCGGCCTGCATGGAGCGCAGGATCGCTCGCGCGTGCTCATACAATCGAGCACCAGATGCCGTCGGCCGAACGCCCCTTGGCAATCTCTCAAATAACGGCGTTCCAAGTTCAGCTTCCAGATTGGAAAGATGCCTGCTCAAAGCAGACACTGCGACCCTTTCCCGATCCGCGGCGCGAGCCAGCGCACCTTCCTCAAAGATCGCTGCAAAATATCGGAGCTGTCGACTGTCCATGCGTTCTCAATAACAGAAAGGAGCTTTATTAACATTGAAATTTTGCAAAGCACGCCGATCGAGTACCGTTGGCTGGCGCGAGTCCAACCGGAGCACAAACGGTGTCAAACGATTTCAGACCCTTGCAGGGCATCAGGGTCGTTGAAATGACCCACATGATAATGGGGCCAAGTTGCGGCCAAGTCCTCGCCTATCTCGGGGCCGAGGTTATCAAGGTTGAGCCTCCTGCAGGGGATAAGACAAGGCACCTGACAGGAATGGGGCGGGGGTTCTTTCCAAGTTTCAATCGCGGCAAGCGCTCGATCACTTTGGATCTCAAGGCCGAGGCAGGAACGATTGCGCTCGATCGGCTGTTGGCTACCGCCGATGTTTTCGTTGAGAATTTCCGCGACCAGTCACTTGACAAGATGGGATTTGCGCCCTCCGAGTTGCGAAACAAGCACCCCAAACTGATCATAACGTCCTGCAAAGGCTTCCTGCGCGGTCCCTATCAGGACCGAACGGCAATGGACGAAGTCGTTCAGATGATGACCGGAATGGCCTACATGACTGGCCCAACGGGTCGTCCATTGCGCATTGGTTCGTCTGCAAATGACATCATGGGTGGGGTTTTCGGGGCTCTTGCGGTTCTCGGGGCCCTGATGGAGCGACAACAGTCCGGCCAGGGGCGCGCCTTACGCGTCGGCCTTTTTGAGAATTGCCTAATGCTTGTCATGCAACACATGGTTCAGTTCGATCTGGACGGACGCGAACCAGCCCCTATGCCCGAGCGGGAGTTTTCTTGGCCGGTCTACGATATCTTCGACACGCATGACCAGCGCCAGATCTTTGTGGGTGCTGTCACGGAGGGCCATTGGCAGATATTGTGCAACGCCATCGGTTTAGAGCACTTGCTGGAGGATAGCCGACTCCAGACGAAAATGAGCCAAATCGAAGCGCGGCACTGGACGATCCCCATTTTTGCAGAAGCGATCAAAAAACGCGATTTCACTGAATTGGTCGAAATTCTTGAAGCTTCAGGCATCCCCTTTTCTCCAATCAACCGTCCGGCTGACATGTATCGGGACCCACATGTCTTGCGTCCCGGCGGTCTACAGCACTCGATGCTGTCTGGTGGGCAGGTATTCCGGGCTCCGGGATTGCCCATAGAAGTTGATGGCGACAGTCCCCGTCCGGCATCACTCGATGTCGCAGATGTCGGTCATGATACCGAAAACGTTCTTTCAGAGCTTGGACTGTCACCTTCGGAAGTACAGGCCGCAAGCGGCGCTGTTAACAGGAGAACGGCGTGACCCGTCTGTCCGAAGTGTACCCTCCCGACAGGGTCGTGTTGCGGGAAGTCGGTTTGCGCGACGGTCTCCAGATGGTCCGACGCCACCCGTCAACAGCAGCGAAGGCCGATTGGCTGCGACGGGAAAGTTCCGCCGGTGTTCGACATTTTGAGATCGGATCTTTCCTTCCGGCAATGGCTATGCCGCAGTTCGCGGATGTTCGGGAGATCATCGACATCTGCCAACGTCTTGACGTGCATTCGGCGGCACTTGTCTTGAACGATCGAGGTGCAGCTGATGCAGTTCAAACCCCGGTCGGTGAAATCGTCACGGTCGTCTCGGCAACCGAAGAGCATAGCCAGGCAAACGCCCGCCGTTCTCGGAAGGACGCAATCGCTCTGGTCGGTAGAACCGTTGAAATGGCCAGGAACTCGGAAACCTTTCCTTTGGTTCAGGCCGGTATTTCTATGGCTTTCGGCTGCTCGATTGCCGGTGAAGTCGACCCAGACGAAGTTGTGCGTATCGCATCAGAGTGTGCGGACGCCGGCGCAGACATCATTGGTCTTGCGGATACCGTGGGATTTGCAGGCCCAGATCAGGTGCAAGACCTTGTTGAGTGTGTAAAAAATGAACTGGGCGATGTCGCTCTGAGCATTCATCTGCATGACACAAGGGGGATGGGGGTCGCCAATGCCTCTGCTGCCCTCGACGCCGGAATCCGGGTGATCGATGGCTCGCTGGCGGGTCTCGGAGGCTGCCCCTTTGCCCCTGGCGCGACCGGGAACGTGGTCTTTGAAGACCTAATATACCTTTGTGAACGAAAGGGCTTTGCGACCGGCATCGATCTGGAAAAGCTGATGTCTGCCCGCGAGATCGCCGCATCCGAAATGCCTGATGAACATCTTCGCGGTGCGCTGGCGCGTGCAGGAGCTCCGCGCCAGATCAGCTGGCACGCCCAACAATCAACTGGATGACAAAATGGAGGAGAATATGAACATCCTGAAAACTGCAGCCGCCGCATTGCTGGCCGCAACGACCATGAGCAGTGTGGCTCACGCCGAAGCAACCGAGATGCGCTGCAGCCACCAGCTACCGCCTGCGCACCATATCGCGAAGGTCATCGATCGGTGGGCCGAAGAGATTGAAACCCTGTCAAACGGAGAAATCGATGTTCAGGTGTTTGGCGCAAACAGCCTCGTTGGCGCGCGGGAAAACATCCCGTCCGTGGCCAAAGGCAACATCGAATGCGCATTTTCGATCAACCCGCAGTGGGGCAAGACCCTACCCATCATGAACGTGACGCTGAAACCTTATGCCGTAACTGATCTGGAGACACTTGCTGCTTGGCCGGGCAGCGATGCGGCTGCGTTTCTGGACCAAAAGCTCCTTGAAAAAGGCGTGCAAAACGCGGTGTGGCTTTTCACTACGCGAATGACGGCGATGACTTCGAAGGGGTCACCGTTGATCAATCCCGAAGACTTCGAAGGCGTCAAGATCAGGGGACTGAACCCAGTGGCTGATGAGGGCCTTGTCGCCATGGGTGCTGCGCCTTCAGCCATGTCGGGATCGAAGGTTTATGAAGCGCTTTCAACCGGCGTGATCGATGCGGGCATGACCGATATTGCAGCTGCCTATTCGCGCAAGTATTACGAAGTGCAAGACCACGTCACGGTCGTGCCGCTCTTTAGCGTGTTCTTCCACGGTTACCTCAACCCGGCCTGGTATGACGGTCTGACTGATGCGCAGAAGGCTGCGATTGCCGAGGCGGGGGCCAAAGCTGCGGAATGGGCGGTTGCCGCGTCCGAAGAAGCGTCGGCCTCGGCGCCTCAGCAACTGGCCGATAACGGTATGAAGGTGCATTTCCAAACACCCGAGGAAGAAGCTGCCTGGAATGCGATAATGGTACCGGCTTTCGACAAGTCGTTTGGCGACGCAACCGGCGAAGACGGCGTCAAGCTGCTGGAGCTGGTCAACCAGATTTCGAACTAACGTGAAACTAGATCATGAAACTGACGCCTCTGAGGCCTTGCCGGTCTCAGGGGTGGAACGCGGGGTGCGCCTGATTACGTTGTCCGGGGCAGGCATTGCCGCATTGCTGGTGCTCATCGTCTTTGGAGTGGTGAGTTATAGCGTTTTCATGCGCTACGTCCTTGGAACACCGATCACTTTTTCCGACGAACTCAACGGCTTTATCGTTGTGGCTATGGTGGCCCTCGGAGCTGGCGAAGTACTCTTGCGCGGCGAACATTTCGGGGTCGACCTGCTGACTGAACGCGCTGGCCCCCGAATTCAGTGGCTGGTCGAGGTTTGGGGGATGGTTGGTGTGATCCTGGTAGCCGCAGCTGTTCTTTATAGCGCGGTGCTCATGGTGCAGTTTTCATATGACTTCGGCATCTATTCAGATGGATATCTGGGCATCCAAATGTGGATTCCACAAGGTTTTCTGCTGATCGGCATGATCATTTTGATCCTTGCGGCGCTGGCTCGCATCTTCACACTTGTGACGGTGCGCCGGCCATGATGACGTTTCTGATCTTGGCCGGTTTGATTGTCCTCCTGCTAACAGGCATGCCAATCTTTGCCGGACTGGGGCTGACATCGCTGATCATAATGTTGCTGACGGAAGGCAACGTGAACAGCGCAGCCGATACGGTGTTTGCCAAACTGAACAACGGACTTCTAACGGCGATACCGATGTTTGCCTTCATGGCACACGTGATGATCCGTGCTGGTGTGGTCAAGGACCTTTATGACGCAGCCAATGCCATGGTCGGCCATCTGCGTGGTGGTCTTGGAGTTGCAACGATCCTTTCCTGTACCATTTTCGCAGCCATTTCCGGTTCTTCTGTTGCAACGGCGCTGACAATCGGCTCGACGGCCATCCCGCAGATGAAGCGCTTCAGCTACCGCCCGAGTTATTCCTACGGCGTGATTGCGGCTGGCGGTACGCTGGGGATCTTAATCCCACCCTCTGGACCACTCATTCTTTATGCAATCGTAACCGAGGCATCGATCGGAGCTCTCTTTCTAGCCGGGTTGTTGCCGGGTATCATGATGGCGGCCATTTTTGCAGTCTGGGCGATGATCAGCGCCGGGTTTGGGAGCGCAGTTGTCTCCCAACCTTTTGCAGGCATGCGGGTCATCTGGGCGCGCATAAGACAGTCGATCTGGGCCTTGTTGATGCCGCCGGTCGTGTTAGGCGGGATTTACCTCGGAATCTTTACAGCGACTGAAGCTGCTTCAATCGGTTGCCTCTACGCTCTGTTAATCAGTGTTCTGGTTTACCGGAATTTCGGTCTCCGTGACCTTTGGGTTACAGCGTTTGAGACAGTGCGCACAACGGCTATGCTTTTCATGATCCTGGCGGCTGCTGCGCTGTTTGGTCATGCAGTAACCATCATTCGTCTCCCAATCGAGATCGTCGAACAAGTGACGGCAATCGGACTCAGCCCCGCCCTGTTTGTCGTTGCAGTTATGTTGCTCATTCTTGTGCTGGGCATGTTCCTCGAGACAATCTCGATAATCCTGATCACGACGCCAATTGTTTTTCCTGTAATGCTGGCACTTGGGATCGACCCGATATGGTATGGTATCCTGCTTATGATCAACCTCGAACTTGCGTTGATCACACCTCCCGTGGGGATGAACCTTTTCGTCATCAAAGGTATTGCCAAAGCCCCTTTGTCCGAAGTAATCCGCGGCGCCCTGCCCTATGCAGCGCTGATGCTTCTGGGCCTGATCCTCGTCTTTGCATTCCCAGCTTTGTCCACATGGCTTCCCGAGGCGGCGGGGTTCGGAGGCTAAGCCACGCGTTCACGACACTCCCCGTGGAACAACATTATTGCGCTGCTTAACTTAAGCGGCACCATAACTCCGCAAAGCTTGGGGTGATTATGGACAATGGCGGCAAAGCCGACCTTCATGCAAGGCGCAGCAATCGGTTGTTTGGGTTCGAAGCTGACTTTTGCAGCGCAGTGCACGTATGCCTGCACAAGACCGAAAAGCGGCTTTAACAGCCACACCAGATGATGCCCGCGAACAACCAGTACCTGCCTTAAGATTTTACAATCAACCCAAGCATCCATGTGTCGATTTCCGATGATCTGGCATGCTCATGATGTGTCGAAAAGGGACAAAAATGCTCCGCCGACAAAGCCCCCCAATTTCAATCGATTAATCTTCAAACAGCTTATGGACATTGTGTTTGCACAAGAGCTAAACACCGGGCGCGAGCCGGGGTCCTGACCCTGAAGACGGCCAGATATTGCGCTGGAAATACCATAAGGGAGTTGCTGGAAATGGCGGCCATGGATAATCACTTCGACAACTGGAAGGAACAACAGTCCGCCGCCGAGCAGATGATCCCGCTGGTTGGCCATCTCTATCGGGATTACGGCATCAACATCCGGATCTTTGGACGGCGACTGCTGAACAACTCCGCAATCGAGATCATCAAGGCACACCGTTATGCCTTGCAGATTACCGGGCAGGAACTGGAAGTCTCCAAAAGTCTCGAAATCGTCAAGGCGATGCTTGAGATGGATCTCGCCGCGTCCCGCGTCGACCTCGGCAAGCTGTGTCACCGTTACATGGAGGAGGGCGGCGATGTTTCGAGCTTCGTGCAGGAGCAGCTTGCCAGCATCAACACCGGCAAAACCTCTATTCTGCAGGAGCCGCAGGACGTCGTTCTTTATGGGTTCGGGCGCATTGGCCGTCTCCTCGCCCGCATGCTGATAGAGCGCGTTGGCGCCGGCAACAAAATGCGGTTGCGCGCAATCGTCGTGCGTGGCGGCAAGGGCGGTGATCTGAAGAAACGCTCCAGCCTTCTGCGGCGGGACTCCGTTCACGGCGCGTTCAGCGGATCAATCACGGTTGACGAAGAACAGAACGCGATTATTGCCAACGGCAATTACATTCAGGTGATCTACGCCAACTCGCCCGCCGAGGTGGATTACACCAACTACGGCATCCGTAATGCGCTGGTGGTCGACAACACCGGGATTTGGCGCGACGAGGAAGGGCTTGGTCAACACTTGAAATGTCCGGGCGCGTCGAAGGTCATCCTGACCGCGCCGGGAAAAGGCAACATCAAGAATGTCGTCTATGGCGTGAACCATGGTGACATTACCGAAGATGATGACATTCTGAGCGCTGCCTCGTGCACCACCAACGCGATCACGCCGGTACTCAAGGTGATCAATGACGGGTTCGGGATCGAGAATGGCCACGTGGAAACCATCCACGCCTTCACCAACGACCAGAACCTGATCGACAACTATCACAAGGGCGATCGCCGCGGTCGGGCCGCGCCTTTGAACATGGTGTTGACGAGCACAGGTGCGGCCAGCGCAGTGGCAAAGTGCCTGCCTGAAATGAAGGGCAAGTTGACCGGCAACGCGGTTCGGGTGCCGGTTCCCAATGTCTCCATGGCAATCCTCAACCTGAACCTTCAGCGTGAAACGACAGACGCGGAAATGAAGGACTACCTGCGTGGGATTTCCGTTCAATCGCCGATGCAGGACCAGATCGATTACACGGCGTCAACCGAGTTGGTCTCCTCCGACCTGGTCGGCTCCACCCATGCCGGTGTGGTCGACAGCCAGGCCACAATCGTCGACGGCAACCGCCTCGTGCTTTACGTATGGTATGACAATGAAGCGGGATACAGCACCCAGGTGATCCGGTTGATGCAAGAAGTTGCCGGTATGAAATACCCGACAGTGCCCGAGTGATAGAGGTTTCCGCGACCGCACCGGCTGGAGCAACGGCCCGTGTGTTGCAGGCCACCACCGGAAACAAAAAAGCCCGGGACGATGCCCGGGCTGTTTCCAGAAATGGTCGGCAAAGCCAGCCTTACGCGCTTTCCTTGTTGGCAGCGCGTTCGATGCGTTTGCGCTCGTGCGGATCGAGAATGGCCTTGCGCAGGCGGATGGAGCTGGGAGTGACTTCCACCAACTCGTCGTCTGAGATGTAGGAAAGCGCGGCTTCCAGCGTGAGTTTCTTCGGCGTTGTCAGCTTGACCGCATCGTCCTTTCCGGCAGAACGGATGTTTGTCAGCTGCTTGCCTTTCAGCACATTGACTTCCAGGTCATTGCCGCGCGTGTGCTCACCAACGATCATGCCCGGATAAACCTTGGTGCCCGGGTCGATCATCATCGGGCCGCGATCTTCCAGATTGAAGAGGGCATAGGCAACGGCTTCACCGGTGCCGTTGGACAGCAGCACACCGGTATGACGTCCCTGGATCGGGCCCTTGTAGGGCTCGTAGCCGTGGAAGATACGGTTGAAGATGGCCGTTCCGCGTGTGTCGGACAGGAGCTCGGCCTGATAGCCGATCAGTCCACGGGTCGGAGCATTGAACACGAGACGGGTGCGGCCGCCACCGGAGGGCTTCATTTCCAGAAGATCGGCTTTCCGTTCCTGCAGCTTCTGCACCACGACACCGGAATGTTCCTCGTCAACGTCGATGATGACTTCCTCGATCGGCTCAAGGCGATTGCCGGCATCGTCGAACTGGTAGACAACGCGGGGTCTGCCGACCCCGAGTTCGAAGCCTTCGCGACGCATGTTCTCAATCAGGATTGCGAGCAGCAGTTCGCCGCGGCCCGAAACGACAAATGCGTCCGGTTCGCCGGTGTCTTCCACCTTGAGGGCGACATTGCCTTCGGCTTCCTTCATCAGACGTTCGTGGATGACACGGGACTGAACCTTGGAACCTTCGGTGCCGGCCAGCGGGCTGTCATTGACGCGAAAGGTCATGGACAGCGTCGGCGGATCGATCGGCTGCGCCTGCAGTGATTCGGTGACGCCGGTTGCGCACAGAGTGTCGGCGACGGTTGCCTTTGCCATACCGGCAATGGCGACGATATCTCCGGCCTCGCCCTGTTCGATCGGCTGGCGTTCCAGTCCCCGGAACGCGAGGATCTTGGAGACACGTCCCGATTCCACCTGGCTACCGTCACGGGCAAGCGCCTTGATGGGCATGTTGGGCAATGCTGTTCCGGAAACGACGCGCCCGGTCAAAATGCGGCCCAGGAAAGGGTCGGACTCGATCGTGGTCGCCAGCATGCGGAATTCACCCGGGTCCGCTTCAGGAGCGGCAACCTTGTCCAGAACCATATCGAACAGCGGATCCATATTGTCCTGTGGTCCGTCCGGTTCGAGCGCCATCCATTCCTGTTTGGCGGAACCGTAGAGAACCGGAAAATCCAGCTGGTCTTCATTGGCATCGAGCGCGGCGAAGAGATCGAAAACTTCGTCCAGAACTTCGTCGGCACGCTGCTCCGGCTTGTCGATCTTGTTTATGGCGACAATCGGTTTCAGGCCGAGCTTCAGTGCTTTGCCGAGCACGAATTTGGTTTGCGGCATCGGACCTTCTGCAGCGTCGACAAGCAGGATGACACCATCGACCATGTGCAGGATACGTTCGACCTCACCGCCGAAGTCGGCGTGGCCCGGCGTATCAACGATGTTGATGCGTGTGTCCTTCCAGACCAGCGAGGTGACTTTCGCCAGGATCGTAATCCCGCGTTCGCGCTCGATGTCGTTGGAATCCATCATCCGCTCTTCAGTGCGCTGGTTGTCGCGAAATGCACCGGATTGCTTCAGCAGGACGTCGATCAGAGTTGTTTTGCCATGATCGACGTGCGCGATGATGGCAATATTTCGAAGTTTCATGAGTGGCTCCAAAAGACAGAGCGGGCCCGATTGGGACCCGCGACATGTCTGGACTTGTAAAATCTGGGATCGGCGCACCCGCCGAATTTGGCGCCTTTATACGTGGACTGCCTGAATTGTGCAATGCGGTGGTGTCCAGGCTTGCATCCCAAGTGGCGAACCTCGACTTTCTGTGCATTGACAGATCGTATCTGGAACCCTAATTCGTACGGGAACCTTACTAATAGGCTGTCCATGAACATTGCTTACCCAAATGTCAGCGTCACCATGCTGGTCGTTGATCTTGCACGCTTGCTGAGGCGCCGCTTCGAGGCCGCACTCGCCGACGTGGAGACCGGATTGACGGCCGGAGAGGCACGTACGCTTTTTTACGTCTGGCGCCATCCGGGCCAGCGACAGGCAGCGCTTGCGGACATCATGTTTGTCGAGCCGATGACGCTGGTCGGATATCTGGATTCCCTTGAAGGATCGGGGCTGATCAAAAGGTGCCCGGACCCGAAGGACAAGCGGGCAAAACTGGTTGAACTGACGCCGGAATCCAATCCGCTTCTTGAACGCATCGGAGCAGCCTTGCAGTCGGTAAGGGCCAAGGCGCTTGAAGATATCCCGGAAGATGACAGGGCCGTTCTGGAAAGACTGCTGCAGGACATGAAGGACAACCTGATATCCGAGGAAGGCATCGGCAAGCGGAAATGAAGTCCGGCACCGCCATCATGAGCGCGCGGCGCACATCGTTGCTGGGCGCTGGCCTCGTCGCCATCGGACCGGTTTCGATGGCGCTCTATACGCCTGCCATGCCGACACTCGTGGAGGTTTTCGGAACGACAGACGCGGCCGTCAAGCTGACCCTGACTGCCTATTTCGCGGGATTTGCGATCGCGCAGCTCATCTGCGGTCCGCTGGCAGACGCATTCGGACGCAAGCCTGTTACTCTTGCGTTCTTGAGCCTCTATCTGGCTTCAAGTTTTCTGGCGACATTTGCACCGACGGTTGAGTTCATGGTTGCCGCAAGAGCGCTGCAGGGAATCGGCGCCGCGGTCGGCATTTCCGTTTCGCGGTCGATTGTCCGTGACCAGTTCACGGGACAGGCGTCAGCGCGGATCATGAACGCCATTGCGATGATGCTGGCGCTGGGCCCGGCCGTGTCTCCGACAATCGGTGGATTTGTCCTGGAACTGTTCGGATGGCGCGAAGTCTTCTGGTGCATGGTGATCTACGGCGTGGTTCTGATGGTGGCCGTTGTCTTTTGCCAGGTTGAAACCAATCCGAACCCGGGCCGGCACCATCTCAATCCCGGCCAACTCGCCGTCAACTATCTGACGCTTCTGCGGGATCCGAGGTTTCTTGCCTCCAGCATCCTGATCGGGTGCGGACTTGGAGGTCTTTACGCGCTTGCGACCATTCTGCCGTTCATTCT